AGGGAAATCTTGTGAATTTGCAGAAAAGTATTTTTACAGTTGTTACAGATCTTAAAATCAGTTAGAGGAAGATTCTGTGTTCTTCCAAACTGGGAAGATGAATGTTTAAAAAGCCCATTATTTTTAGAAAAAGGTAATGGTGAGTTTCCGAATGACCTTGGGAACCACACACTTTTAACAGTTGAAGAGACGCAGTGTTGCTTCCCATGTTTCAGATTTATAAATGCTTTCACTCATGTGAGCACAAAGACAAACTGATGTTAAGTAGCCATGAGTTGTAGAGGTATGTGGCAATGGCAGGTGGGAGGAGCTTTATGCCATCCTTAAACACTTTGCAATTGCTGAGCTGCTGTCTACGCAGTATTCAGTGCATTTCTGAAGGGCAAAAAATCTCTTCCACCCATTAAGTATGTTCCTGTTCCCTGTACAAAAGATAACTGCTTCCTTTGTTAGAAAATTTCTCTTCTGACTGCCTTGGAAAAAAGAAAAAGGAAAGTATTTGTACTAATTTTTCTTCTGAGTAACAAGTACCAAACCACAGTGATAAATATGCTGAACGGCTGACTATTTTAGGTCAGTGGCATTACCATACAGAAAAAGGTGCTCATGCATAAGGACAGGCTCCAACCTGGGTCCCCAGATTGCTGTATTTCCCTTATCAGACAGGGGATCTAGCCACTGAAGAATTAATTTGGCAAAAATTTCATATCCTTTTTCAGTACAAGACCCAGTGAAGGTCTATGGCAGCTTCAGCTTAACACAAGAATCTTAAATTGAAAATTAGTTACCAAAGCTATGAAACTTATGTTCCAGATGTAACACAGTAAAATCTGCTTCTGGTAAAGCTGAGGTAAATGCCCACACTCACAAGCACAGCTCAAATTTGGCCACCTCAAGAGGTTTTGGGCTCCTCCAGCTGCCCTGAACACATTGGACGCTTAGCTCTGCCCTTGCTCAGGTGAGGTGCAGATCTTCTGCACCAGGTTCCTTTGCAAGTAAGGAGTAGCTACAGTAAGACAAGTGAGGACATCTCTGCTGGAGCCAAGCCAAGTCTGCAGGGGCTGGAGATCAGTACCAAAAATGGGTGTGCACCCTAATCCAGTTATAAGGAATGCTGTGCTGCTGTCACCGTGCTGCTGCTTCACAAGGAAGCTGTCAGTTCTGCCAGCTCGGGGGCTCAAACTCCATTATCCCAAAATTGCACTTTGGTCCTTCCCTGATGCTCCTGGGAATGACTGCTAAAATTCAAAAGGAGACCTTATGAGTAGTATGGATGGTGTCATGTTGTGGAAATGTCTTTCAGTAAATCACAGGTTTTGACTCACCTGAATTATGAATAATCACTCAGAGTATCTTTCAAAAGCAGTATTTATTTTTTTCATCAAGATAAGACACATTACATACTGCATAAAGTAAAAAGTACTGCTAGGAAAGCTGCATTTAACTGAGATAACAAAAAAAATATACATAGATTGCACTTGAGAAAGTAGACTCTATCCCAGAAGAATATAGTAAATAAAAAGCTAACAAGTGGTTTGAAATTAGGACTCTTTCTAAATTGCCTTTGAAAATATATTTATTCTGGAGGGTTCCAATTCCACCAATAAAACTGAACCAGATTAGGTTTCTTAATAGCTTTGCTCTTTAAGTTAAAATATTATGTAAACAACATAATTATTACATGGACAAAAGAGGGGGAAAAAGTATTGAGGAACACCTCTGCAGTTTCTGCTAATAAATAAAAAGGAAAAAATTTGCTGGTATTTGGTTTCACCAGAGTCACTGAAGCTCAAGGCTAGGGTCCTGGGGACTTTTTCTTAGTTCACATGTATGTTAGCACACCCACACTGCAAAACAAAGCCCATCTTTGACCCTCCTGCAGTGGCTGGGAGCACGCTGTCTGTATGGCAGCTTGAAGCAGTGAATGGTTCCATTAGTTACTAAGTGTCCCTGGAGTAATACTTTAAATTTTGCAACAAGTTTAGCCTATATCTAAGAAAGTAAACCCATCATTAGGCAAGAGGATTTTTTTACCTTTATTTGAATTTTTCTGCTGGACCCTGGCATCCACTGCTGCCTTTATCTAATTCAGTTAGCTGAACTATCAACTGTTCAGTCTTTAAAAGGAATTTTCACACTATCAACCTCTGTGTATCACTTATGTCCAAATCAGATTTCTAATCTTTCTATACAGTCAAAAGAGAAAGAAAACTCCACACTGGGCTATTTCAACCTTGGGGCTAAGGCAAATTATTGGAGAGCCTCTCCCAAATGCCTGTAGGGGTAACTCAGGCTCACAGATGTGGCTGGATCCCCCAGATTAGGAGGCATAAACACCCCTAACAACACATGGTTGTTGGGGTGGTACTGAGTGAGCAGGTAGTGGTGTATGGGACACGCCTGGCGCAGCGGGTGCCTGCTGCACAGCTTTCCCCGGGGGTGTGAATTAAGGACCACTCAGAGCACAAAGCCTTGTGAAACTGATGTTTCCTACAACCAATGCTAACTAGAAGTCAGGCATAATTCAGTCAGGGATATACATTGGAGTACAACTGTCTCAAAAACAATCCATACTGCCAAGGTCTCACATGCAAATTTCTTCCAAACTTAACTAAAAATTATGGAAGGGCTGGGTCAATCTTGTTATTAAGCTAGAGACAGAAAAAGTATGAGATGTTCTTTAAATAGCCCTGAACTACAAAATAAAGCTGGTAATCTTTGGTTACAGGATTTTTCTTTAATGTGAATTGCTTTGAAAAATGATGAATCACTTCCCAAGTAAGCATTCAGGAGCATTTTTAAATAGACATCTGGGAGCCAGAGAGGAAAAATTAATATAAATAACAAACCTCCAAACTTTCTGAATCTCAAAGGCTAAAGTACAGGAAAGAAAGTAACACAACATTTCTAAGGGATCTTTCAGCAAAGTTTTGCTAAAATTACAAAAAAAATCACAAAATACTTGAGCTGATGAAGAGGGTAAGTCAGAATATTAGAGCACTTTTGTAACAAACCTGTAGAGTGCTAAAACATACTGGTTTGAAAGCCTTATACTACTTTATATCACTTGCCAGTTTCCACTAATTATAACACACTACTGTCAAACTACTTCACTCTTTCAGAGAGACAGAAAGACACGAGGCAACATGGATGATTCAATGCAGCCTTTGTCTACTATTAAATATAAAACCTCAGCCACCCTATTCCTTCTGTTACATTCATGATCAAAACTCCAACTCTTCACCAGACTTAAATCTGTCTGTATTTTTGTACTTTTGGAGCAGCATTTAAAAATCCTTAAAGCTAGTTTGGAAGGATTTTTTTTCCTTTTTTAGTTAGAGCACTTTCATAATATTTTAAAAGCCATAGGAAGTTATGTTGTAGCTTTTAAAGTGCTAATTTTATTATGAGGTGCTGTTTAATAATATTCTTCTGCAAATTAACAAATTATGCACATTTTCCATGACAGACAGACATTGCTTAATGAGTTAATGTACTTAAGAAAAAGGCAGTCAAAAAATTCACTGTCAACAGTTTAACCATGGCAATACACAGAGCTGGAATGAGACAACTAACCTCAGATAACTAAAATTAATGCATATATGACAAAGTTATAATAATCCATATTTAAAACAAACAAACAAACAAGCAAACCCCAAACCAAATAATGATAATTAAATCTCAAACACAGTTTTGTTTCTCAGTAACACAACTGCAAAACAAATCAATATTTTCAACAAACAAGTGCCTTATCTTCATCTCCTCCATCTCCTCAAACTGCTGTGAAGAGGATACAAGAGGAAGGCTGTCTCCCTTTTTGTGTAGAGGGGACTCCTCCTGGGCAACTGTGGGCCACTCTGGGCAAAGGGCAGGAGTCCAGACTAGGTAGGTAGTGACCAGAATCAGTCCCAGCCTACAGGGATTCACCTGGGGATTGGGTTGGAGCCCCCTCCTGCAGAAGCACCTGGGCGATGGTTCCCATGGAGTCACCAGGGGAAAAGCACCAGCCTCCACACCCCCCTACCACCATGAGTGTCCTGGCTTATGCAAAGCTAATTTCAGCACATGATTTGCTCGAGTACAAACAGTGAGACTTTGACTATTTCATGTAGTGATGGATTTTCTGTATTCTCTCTCACTCTGTTGGGCCCGAATGCTGGGAAGTTCCCTCTGAGAGTGGGGCAAATTTGGCAGCCATACAGGCTCAAATTCTCTCTTCGTTTATACCCACAAAACCCTACTGACTACCAGGAGAGCTGAGGAGGTAGAAATGGCAGTAGAATTTGAGTGTAGGAACTGGTGAGTGAGAAGCAAACACAAAGCTATTTCGACCTACAACTCCCTGAAAGGTTATAGCCAGGTGGGGGTTGATCTCTTAGGCAGCTATCAGTAGGACAAGAGGGCGTGGTCTTAAGCTCTGCCAGGGGAGGTTTAGGTTAGATATTAGGGAGAAATTCTTTACAGAGAGGGTAATCAGGCACAGGAATGGGCTGTGCAGGGAAGTGGTGGATTCTCTGTCCCTGGAGGTTTTTAAGATGAGGCTGGATGTGGCACTTAGTGCCATGGTCTAGTAACCATGGTGGTAGTGGATCAAGGGCTGGACTTGATGATCTCAGAGGTCCTTTCCAACCCAGCTGATTCTATGATTCTATGATTCATTGTCAGCTACAACAAATACCTATGCACCTGGTGTTTAATTTCAGTGCGCATTGTGTGCCTAAGGACTGCAACTGAGCTTTTAAAATCTCAACCCTCAGAATCTAGCTACAGATAACCATAATCTTATATTCTTGGATGCTGATATATAAACCTATGATATACCTGTTTAGTTGCCATGGCACTAATCAGCACAGCTATGCTGAAACAGAGAGATCATGTTTGCTAATTGCAAAGGCAGGCTAGTAGCAAATTTCAAATGATTAGCGAGTAAAGGTCCTCAGAGCAATCCTGCTTAAAAGTAAACATCCAGTAAAATGCAATTAGTGTGTCTTTTTTGTTTCTTTCTTTCTTTCTTTCTTTCTCTCTCTTTCTTTCTTTTTTTTCTCCTTTTTTTTTTTTTTTTTTATCGGGGTGGTCTTGAACTGCAGATGCAATCACAACGCTCATGGTGATCCAGCTGTATATCAACTAAGGCCATGTTGTTCCTGATTCTGCCTTTTCTTCTGGTATGCCCAGCCTCAGGGATGAATTTCAGCACCTGGGAGGATCAACAGAAATGCATTGATTAGAAAACACTGTTGGAGATCTGAGGATGAGAGTGCTGGGGCCCTGAGGGCACCAACAGTCCTTAATGGCCCTGACCAGCATTAATTTGGATACATTTTTGTTTTACTTCCAGATTTTTCTTTGGACTCTTTGACATCTTGCTGTACTGTTTGTCCTGGAGTTTTGACAGACTGGATTATTTTCTACATAAGGTATCTTTATATGACGCAGTCTCCTAACCATATCCAGAGTTGCTCCTTTGCATGTGAATTATCAAGCATATTTCCTTTGGTTCATCTTTGCAGTCCCATACATATTTGAGTTGCTCTGCCCCTTCTCTCCATTGTATAATATTTCTCCTCTAAAGAACAAGTAATTTTTTTTTTGTGCCATTTGAAATTTCTGAAGCACATATCATTAGAATTGGCTCAAAAATTAAATACTCGTGGAAGACAAAAGGAGATGAGGGAGCTTGCACAAAATATGTGTGAGATCTCATCGAGTTTCTGCGGAATCTGACTTCTGCTGGCTTATATTAAAAATCTCTGCCTCAACCTAAATGATTTCTGGAGAATTTACTGTGAATAATCTTAAACAAACAAGTCAACAAAATTATTTCCTAGGTAAGTATACATCATACTTGGTGGTAGCGTATGTAAACCATGGACTGGAAAAGCTGAGGAGGATGGTGGTTTGCAGGGGCATGCTTTGTGAGCCCACCACTGGAGGCTGAGTTGCTGTGTAAGACGTCATACCCACACTAGCATGGGGACATAGGTTGAGGGGAGAAAATCTGTTTTATTTCATTAGTTTGCTGTTCGTGGCCTACAGTAGTTTAACAAAAGAGATATTAATTTATAAGTTCAGTCCTGAAGCTTAAATACTAGTTTGGATTAGGTACAATGAATGAGTTAAGATTAAGAACACCCTAAATCTCCTACAGCATTTTTCTTCCCAAATCTCACAGCACATTGCCCAGAGAGATATGCATAATTATCAAACTTGCATAGATGGAGAATCCGAAACTGATTTGCTCGAGGCTCTGCAACACATCAGTAGAAAAACTGCCAGTGGCATTACCAGATCCTTTCCATTTTAAAATCACTTATTTACTGATGGGGAGCAGGACATGGAGATAGCAAGGCTACAGCTCCACAGCTGGCGGTAAGCTGGTGGGTAGGTTCAGCTCAGTGTGGCCTCAAGCCCTTTAGTCCAGAAACCATGCACTGGTAAGGTACTAGGGCTAGCATGTCTCACCTCTTGGTAGGCTGATGTGACTCATGCTAGCTTGGCCAAGTGACTGCTAGATCAGCTAGATTTCTCTTTCTTGTTCAAAAGATGGAGAGACATCTGTTTAGTGTATGACCTACCAAAGTCACTGGACAAATGGGAAGCGGGACCGAGACATCTTTAGCACCTCAACCTCTGAAACACCCACACTTCTGCCTTAAATAACAGGTCCCCTAACTAGCAGATCATACTGTTACTCAACAATCCTTTTTTTTTCTTTACAATGTACTTTCTGTACTTTGACATTGTAACACCATACAAGCATTGAGATGGTTTGGAAAGGACAGAGACTGCATACCAGATTAACAAAGTATTAGCATTTTCAACAGAATTAGAAAATCCCCAGAAGTAAATGTGAATGACTTGCCAAAGGAGAACCATAGATGCTGTGCAGAGTAGTTGGGGAAGGGCAGACAGGTTAGCAACCTTTGGGATGATACCATTCGTTCTCTACCATTAATGTCTTGAGGCTAGAAAAGTCATGGGATATAACAAAAGTGATAAGTGCTGAACACAGTCTATTATTTTGTCCTCCCTTTTGTGATAAAATTTATATTTAGCCTATGTAATATTGAGAGGAAGAACTGTGCCTAGGCAAGGTATAGACCTGCTGCTTTATTGTGTTGGGAAAATAGAATTACTTTTCCCTCTTAGAAACACAGAGACATGGTGGGTTTTTTTTTGTTTGTTTGTTGTTTTTTTTTTTTTTTTAAGCAACAAAAATATTGTATCTTTCAAATTATTTGAAACATTGACTGCATCAATATATGCAACAAATCCTGATGGACACCAGGACAATATGCTGTACCACACAGTTACCCAAAACACAAAGGAATTGAAGCCAATCAGGTTGCTGCAATTACTACAGAGATAAAAATAGACCAGAGCTTCAAAGATGCTTTTTTAAAGAAAACATATTTTTAAAATCAAGTACAAATGCTGACACTGAACTCATGATAAAATTCCTTTTTTAAAGAAGCATTTCAGCAAAATCTGACAAATCCAGATGACTGGCACTTTGCAAGGTCATGGGTAGCTAGACCTGATTTTTCCAATTGAGAGCAAATGAAAGTAGGCAATGGGATGAGAGCAAAGATGTGGACTGTATTTAAGTTAATAGACCATCTGACAGCTTGGGGACTTTCCCTGTGTTTTTTATTAAGAAGCATGAGCACAGTATATGGGCTTTGCTGATAAGAAAATGAACTGTCAGACACTTCACCAGATAGGAAAGCAGTGATTGAACACAGCTGAAATTATAGAATCATAGAATCGTTTAGGCTGGGAGAGACCTCTGAGATCAACAGGTCCAACTGTTAACCCAGCACTGCCAAGTCAACCACTAAATTGTGTCCTCTAATGCCACATCCACATGCTTTTTGAACACATCCAGCGATGGTGACCACTTCCCTGGGCAGCCTGTTTCAATGTTTGACCTTGCAGTGAAGAAATTTTCCCTCATATCTGATCTAAACCTCCCCTGGTGAAACGTGAGACCATTTTGCCTTTTCCTGTCACTTGTTACCTGTGAGAAGAGACCAACCCCCACCTTGCTACAACCTCCTTTCAAGTAGTTGTAGAGAGTGATAAGGTCCCCCCTGCGACTTCTCTTCTCCAGGATGAACAACCCCAGCTCCCTCAGCTGCTCCTCATCAGACCTGTGTTCCAGACCCTTCGCCAGCTTTGCTGCCCTTCTCTGGACTTGCTCCAGCACCTCAATGTCTTTCCTGCAGTGAGGGGCCCAAAATTGAACACAGGATTCAAGGTGTGGCCTCATCAGTGCCAAGTACAGGGGAATGATCACTGCCCTGTTCCTGCTGGCCACACCATTGCTGATACAGTCCATGGTGCCATTGGCCTTCTTGGCCACCTGGGCAGTGTTGGCTCATGTTCAGCAGCTGTTGACCAGCACCCCCAGCTCTTTTCCCTCTGGGCAGCTTTCCAGACACTCTGGCCCCAGCCTGTAGCGCTGCCTGAGGTTGGTGTGACCCAAGTGCAGAACCCGGCATTTGGCCTTGTTGAACCTCATACAGTTGGCCTTAGCCCATCAATCCAGTCTGTCCAGATCCCTCTGCAGAACTGCTTTAACAGCTGATCACAGAACTGATATTCAAAACTCTCTGTCTCATATCTACCTAATAGTTTTATTTTCAGCTAAATATAAGAGAATTGAAAATTCCCTGGAAGGATAGGCCATTTCTGGTGACCACAGTAGGTGAAAGAAAACTCTTTATTCTGAAAATAGCTGCTGTTTATTCATCATATGGTCAGGTCCTTAAAGGTGAGGAGCTACTGAATTAATGGAAACGGTTCAAAGAAATCCTGTTCAGGAAACTTTATTGCTCCTTTTTAGATGGGATCAGTAGCTGTAAGAAAATATAGAAATGACAAGGTCTGGAATGCTCAAAAGGTTTTTTTTTTGTGTGGGTGGAAAAGAAGAATAACCTTGTAGTTTCCAAATTAAAGAATCAATGTCTGTCACTACTCATCAAACTGCGGTGCCTCAGCTCTTCAGATTGCCTCACAAAGAGTATATAACTACAGCCATATCCCTCTCATCAAACACTGAATAAATTATGATCATAAAACTATTAAAACAATTAAAATCAAGACAGATTATTTAGCTTCTGAGGTGGATTTGTTGTTTATAGGTAATATAAAAAAAGGGGAACAGGGCAGTTTTCTTGCAGAAATCCCCATAAGAGCACACTAATATGCTGGATGGCATTTTACTTTGTAGATATGCCTGAGCATTTGAGAAGTTTCAAGGTGAGATGACTCTAGCCACTGCATAACTTCCCTTCGGAGTGGTGCTGTAGGAAATATAAAGAAAATGCTTATAAAAATTTCCTTGCCAGCAATCTTGTTCATTGATCATGTATTGAATTTGGATGCCAGTTTTTGAAAGCCTCTTTAAATGGGAGAGCAAAGCCATCGCAAAACCCGGGATCTGGAAGCTGAAGCCAGAAGACATGGAAGTGGAATTAGGGCACACTTGTTTAAGTCAGGCCAACTCATCACCTCGACAGCTCTCCAACAAACTCTGGGGTTTCCAGCCTGTTTGAGGGTTGCCTTTCCAGGAGGTGTAAAGTACCAACTTGGGTCATGCTCTGGGGGCAGCAGGGTGCTCTCCAGTGTCCTGTGGAGCACAGGAGGTCAGGGCTGACGGCCCCTATCATCTCAGCAGATCTGTAAGAACACTTCAAGATCAGGGGCTGAGGAGAGCAGAGTGGCGATGACTGCCAGGAAAAGGACCCAGCTGGAGATAACCTGTTCACCCTGACCCATACCTGGCATGTCTCCAGTAGAAGCCACAACAAAGCAGCGACTCCAGAGAATGAGTCACCTGAAACACCCACCTCTGGTGAGTCTATCTTTGGTAACTAGGAAAGGAGCCCAAAGCTTGGACTTGCAGCTTTAGATGGGTAGAGCCAGATGAACCATCCTTTCAGCATTTGCTGATGGTCCTAAGCAGGTATCATTGACCTTTGAAGTCAGGCAACATTTAGCCATGACAATCCAGGATGGCTGACTTTTATTGTACTAAAAAGCAAAGAGTGATAGGAAACACAGGCAACACTTAAAAAAGAGGAGGTATCCAGTTCCTCATAGCCATTTTTTTACTTAACATACTTTACTTATTAGGAAAAATAGTGATACTCTTTTTTAATTTCTTAACCAGTAGTTCAAACACCAATGGAA